AACAGGCGTTCATGCTGAGTGGGATGGCAAATACACATATTTAACAAACTATAGGAGGAGTCCCTGTGCAGTCATGCTTTATACCCCTTTGTGGGGTCCATGTTCAGAATGTGGCAGCCCTCTGGTGTCGAAAGGTGAAACAAGGACACGAAAATCCTCTCTGCAGATGGTCCATAGACTGGTTCAATCATCAACGATGGGTGATCGCCTACCAGGAAAGAATGGTCTGGACCACGAGGTTGGTTTCTGTTCCGTCCCTAGGAAGAAAGCCTGATGGGCATTAGCGAGGGAGGGCGTCTGTGCAGCGTGCCCGACCTCCCAGCTCATCGTGGCTGGGAATTCAGTTTTGCAGTTTGTTCTGGGGTCCCCTTGGCCAAGAGGGGTCCATTCACTTTGCCTGGGGGCTTAGGATTTTATTTTTAGTTCACACACATTTATAACATGAATTCTTAGAACGGGGATTTTTGGGTTTAAAGATACGTACATTTGTAATGGGAATTGTGTATTGCTAGTGCTTACAAAGGCCCTACCAACCTATTCTCTGCCCAGCAAAGCAGATTATTTCCTAGTCTGCCACTACGTATGTTTGCACCCTTTTTCTTAACTTTGATAATGTTGTTGGTGAAAAATGAGCGTTTGTTGTAGTGTTGAATTTGGATTTATTTTAAATACAAGTGAACATTATTTCTTATGTTGGGCTATCCTAATCATACACATATTTCTCATTTGCATTTGTGTCTATTTCTTCACTCTGTTTCATTCCACTGATTTATCATATCGCAACACTGTGCTAATTCGCCCTTATTCTTTTTTCTTCAGAATTTTTCTAGCTATTACTGCTTTAAAATTTTTCTAGATGAACTTAGAATCAGCTTATCCAGTTCCCAAAAAAATATATTATATACAATTTTATTGGGATTGAGTTAATTTAATAGGACCTAAAGAGAATCGACACCATTAAGTTTCTAACCCAGGACCATAATACGTCTTCGTTTATTCAAGGCTTCTTTTGTATCCTTAAGGAGTATTTTTAAAGTTCCTTGATACAGGGCTTGCATGTTTCTTATTAATTTTATTACAAGTTATCTTATCTTTTTGCCATTGTATGAGGTCTTTTCTTTTCCATTAGGTTTTCTTGCTTATTGATTTCTGAATCAGTTTTGTACTCAGCTGCCTTCCTGAATTCATATTGTTTGTAAATTTTTCAGTTAATTTTCTTAGATTTGCCAGGTATCTAATCAAGCCATTTGCCAATAATAATTTATTTCCTGATTTCTAAATATCTTATCTCTAATTTCTAACTTCAATCTAATGTGCTGGAAAGTTCTTCATTAAAAAAAGTTAAATAAAAGTAGTGATAGTGGACATCCTTGTTTTTGACATTAAAAAGAATGGTTCTAGTGTTTTCCAATAAAGTACTGCTTGTAAATTAGAGTAGTCGTATTTAATCAAAGTATATGTTCCTTAACAAAAAATGGATTTTAAATTATATTGAAATGCTTCTTTAGCATCTTTGAAGATGCTCATATTTTTCTCCTTATATAAACTAATATAGTGAATTAATTTCTTAATAGTTAACCATCCTTGCATTCTTAAGAGTAACTTCCACTTAGGTATTTGATGCTTGATTCTATTAGACTAAAGGAGATTTCATAAGTGAGATGAAACCATAATTTCTTTTATTTTGTGCTTTATTGGATTTAGGTGTCTTTGTTATTCTAACATTTAAAAATACATAAAAGCAAAAAAATACATAAAAGCTTTCCTTCTTTATCTAGGTCGTAGAAAAATTAAAAGTGCATTGGAATTATCTTAGAATTCAATTCTGAGACTCTCTAGGCTTAGTGATGTATGTGGGTGATGGTAGTGGTGGGGTGATTGTCTTTGACAACTAATCTGTTTAGGCTTTTTGCATCTTTTGGAAACAGTCATAGAATATTTAAAACTAACCACTTTATTGAGCTCTTTAAGAAAATTTATTTAAATATAATGGCATAGGATTGGACAGAGCTATCTCTTTTAATTAGATTCTTTACTTCCCTTCTCCCCTTATTTCTATTAGGATATTCATAATTTTTTTATTTGCTTAATCGGTTTATCTAAAGTTTTATCTATTTTGTTTTTATACCAAAAAAAGTCAACTTTCATGTTTATTTACTATTTTTCCTTATTTCATTAATTTCATTTTCTACCAATTTATTTTTCCAAGAAAAATGCTGGACACATTTATTTTCATTATTTTTATTTTGGAATTGGTTGAGAAAATGGAAAGTGAGGAATGAAAGATGAGTTTATGAAAACTTTCTAGGAGTGGCTATAAAAGTGAATAGAGAAATGGGTACATTCTTAGAGGGGACAGTTTAGTGTTTTTTTAAGACAGGCAGTGTTACAACATATTTATATGCTGACAAGGCTCATTTAGTATAAAGGGAGGAAATTAATGGTGCAAAAGAGAAAGGGGTTAATAATGGGAGCAAAGTCTTTGAGTAGGTGAGAGCATAAGGCAACAATTGTACGCAAGTTGTTCTTAGCCAGATAGCCTGCCCCTTGTAACAGGAGGCAGAAGGCAGTAACTATGGGAATGTGTGTTTGGTCATTGTTGATGGCTCACTTGAGGTATGTGGTTATAGATCACAAATGAGTCCAATTATCATAGCTTGACTACCATATAGCTTGACTACACTCAAGCCATATGGAATAGGTAGTGTAAGACTGTCATCCCCAACCCCCCTGGCCCGTGGACTAGTACCAGTCCATGAGCTGCACAGCAGGAGGTGAGCCACAGTGACTGACTGATGCTTCATCTGTATTTACAGCCACTCCCCATCACCACATAAGCTCTGCCTCCTGTCAGATCAGCAGCAGCATTAGATTCCGATACAAGTGCGAACTCTACTGTAAACTGCGCATGTGAAGGATCTAGGTTGCATGCTCCTTATGAGAACCTCATGGGTGATGATCTGAGATGGAGCTGAGGTGGTGATGCTATCACTGGGGAGCGGCCGCAAATACAGATTATCATTAGCAGAGAGGTTTGACTGCACAATAAATGTAACGTGCTTGAAGCATCCTGAAACCATCCCCCACCCCCACCCCCACCTCCTGTGCCAAAAAAGTTGGAGACTGCTGGTGTAAGACATTTGGATTTAACTCTGATTGGGGTTCTGCCAAGTAGGTAAAAGGGCACATGTATGAAATTCTGCCTAAACTTCCACAGGGTTTGTGAATACATATGGCAGATGAACTTTTTGCAAAAGAGATTTGAAGAACACCATTAACACAGGACAGCATATAGCAGGGAAATATGTTTTAATGCTCTTCAGAAGTTGATATTTGTGCCTAACTTAAACACAACAGTTGAAGCTTTGCTAGGCAGAACAGCAAGGGCTTTCACCTCCTCGTACTAATAATTTCTTCTTGGCCTTTGGGGATAGGACACTATCCACTTCTGGTTTTCCTCGTTAGAAGGCATATTAGAATCTCTCAGGGATGCAAGTGTACTGTTCTTTATTTAAGTTTACAAAATACATGCTTATAGAAAATTAAAACATTATAGAAATATATAAAGCAGACATGAAAGCTCTCCCATAATTTTACTTCCTCACAAAGCCACTGTTAACAATGTGGTGTTATTTCTCCATTATTTTTTAGAGCATGAAGTTATTCTACAAAAAATCCTTGCACAATTTTTTTTTTTTTACATAAACGTTTGGATGCCTTGCCCTAATAATCCAGACATTCCTCATTCTCTTAATGAATACACAGAAATAAATTGCATGAAGGTAAACTAATCTTTCAAACTGATAGGGACATTTGGGCTAATTTTAATTATTATAAAACAAAGGTGCAATGAACTTGCTTGTGTATTCTTGTCAGATTATTTCTATTAGGCAACTTCCTAGAAATGAAGTTAGTAGGCCAAAGGATTCAAACATTTTCGATAAGCTCCAGACAACTACATGCCTAAAGGTTGTAACAATTATACTCCCACCTACAGCATGCAACGTGGGATAAGTGTAATTGGAAATGCTTGTTCAAAATCATGGTGCAATTTTTTAATATGGAAAATTAAAAAAAAATGATTATTCTTATAACTTTTTTCTAATTATAGACTGTGAAGTTAGACAAATCTTGACTGATGGGGAACCAGGATCCCAAGGGCAGGATTTACAAAACTCGTATTTACCAGGAGGCATAGGTATTAGGAACACTTTTCTATAAAATCTCCACAAGACTGCAGCCTTTGCTATAGCTTTAAATAGCTCCACTGGTACTGCCAGAGTTAGGTTCCCCAAGTCTCGATACCAGTACTGGTATCCTACTTGTGGAATAAAATCCAAATTTAATACATGAGCTTTCCACACCACAAGCCAGCTTTACTACTCATTACTCAACTGTAGCAGGCAATTCTTTATCCTAGAACACACCATACACTTTCCTGCACCTGGGTTCATCACTTTAGACCACATCTTAGAATACGCTTTTCCTTTTGTCCTCTCTTTCACTTCAAGGTCAACTCTAATGCCACTTACTCTGTCAAGTCTTCCACAGTCCTCCCTGGGAAAAACGAATGGTCTTATCCTTTGTGCCCCCAGCATTTCCCTTGTACCTCTACTATAGCATTTCTATAGTCTGCTACAAAACTGGAAGTGTTGGAGGACAGATACATCTTATTCGTCTATTTCCTGAACAGTATCTAGTGCAGAACTCTGCAGAACATGCACTCAAAAACTGTTTTTGGAATAAACATACAAAAGTTAAATAAATACTTTGAATCTTCTAATCCCAAATTATCAGTCACAGATATTAGTTTTTAAAGGATTAACTACTGCTCCCATCAAGACATGTCCTATTATAATAGTTTTGTACGCTTTTTAAAAAGGGTCAAACTATTCTACTTTTAGAATAGTTATGTTCAATAAACCTGCATTTGCTTGATATCTGCATCTTACCTCCTAGTATCACAAACTGTTTATTTTAGAAATAAAAACACAGGGGGGAGGGGGAGGGGGACAGTTTATTGTAAAATATGAAGCAGCAATGATTCGAGCAAGTGAGTTTCTGCTTTATATTCCCAGCCAGAGCACAGAATGACTGGATACCCTCATCAACGCCAAGCTTAAAAAAAAAAAAAAAAAAAAAGACAATGCCACATTAAAATCTCTTTCTCTTGATAATCTCTGGTTTCCAGCTGACTGGATGAGTTTCTTCTGTCTAAAAATAGAAAAGTATGTTAAAATAAAGTATTATTAGTTTGCTTCATATTTAACAGACTTCCTTTACAACAAAAATAAGGTATCTACTCTAGCATATTACTTGGCATTATACATTTAGCAGGTCTTTAATAATTTTAGAAGAGTTGATAAACTTTTGGCATTATCCAAGTCTAATAAAAGATGAATGGGTTCATTACAACTTTAGTTTGTAGTTTTTCATCTAAAATAAAATTTCTATTTCTATTTAGATATTCAAGTGACACCAAAGCTTATGATACTTGAATTAATTTGCATAGCAATCTATGTATTTGATGTTATTCTTAATGCAACATTTTCCTAGTAACTATAGTAAGAAAAGTTGGGAAAAAATTAAAACCATCAATGGGATTCAGTGGAATCAATGAAACCAATAAAGAAATCTACAAGCAGACATTAGTCAAGCTGACAAAAACCTTAACACCATAAAGATTATTTTTCCTTCTGATAATTAAATGAATACATCTGCCAAATTGGCGTGGTTGTTTTACTTTACTTCAAAATGTATGTTAAACGGAAAACTTACCGCTGTATCATCCTCTCTGTACACTTTAATGGTTTTATCAGCCTCAGCTGTTAGTAATCGACTCTCAGACTGATCAAAAGCACAGGCAAATATTCCCGATTCACTGTCTAAAGACCCAGGCTGCACAGCTGCATGAACTCGCTGAAAATTGTAGCCAGTTCTCCAGTCCCAAAGATGCATAGTGCCATTGTCAGCTTAAAGGGAAAGATCTAGTTACACTTGGTGTCCTTCAGCAGCTCAGCTTGACAAACACTTACTAAGCAACAAACATTAGTCCAAGCACCATGGCAATAACTATAAAGATATGTAAGATACAGGCACTCAAGCTTCTCTTACTACCGGTTTATCTACTTTCATTTGTGCTTAATTCAGAATTTATCATAAATCTTAAAAAGCCCCACAAAATCTGACAACCAATTCCAGAACACCCAACCAAACTCTAGGCAATTCCCAGCAATAATCCCTCAGATTCATTAGACGGCACTCAAGAGGGCTAAACTGTGAAATATGCTACGTGTATTAGGTCCATGCATGAACACACATATGAACCCCCAAATGCACTCTCATCAAGCAAGTGCTGCCATGGTACTTAGGTGTGACTGCTTAGAAATATTACCAATGTTTACTCATTGACTAAAAGAAAAAAATGACAGACTAAACACATTTATTACAAAAATCTTATTTTACCTCCAGATACAAGTACTCCATCAGAATTTACTGTCAGTGTGTTAATAATAGCATTATGACCAGAAAGATTTTGAATGAAACTTCCATCAGGGAATTTCCACTGCTTTATGTTATCTGGAGAACCAGATGCAAATGTGTAACTGAAATAAAATAAAAAATAATTAATGGCAAAGTAAACCAAGTTAAAGTGGTGGGTTTTAAAACGCTTATTATAGCTCTATTTTGCATGTGTACTCACTGATCAATGTAGTTTCAGCATAATACTACTGTCATACCAAGATGTAAAAATACCAGGACATTTGTTCCAAGTTAAATCAGATTTTTGAATTTTTAAAATGTATTTTAAATCCTAGATTAATATTTTATTCTCCTTTCATTTCCCCAATGCTCTACACTAAGCAAGAACAATAAATGTGCAAATGCCTAATTTCACATAAAGGACAAAGGATTAGGCAACTATTCTGGAGAAAGGGACAGAGAGAAGAGGAGAGAAGGAAAGGAATAGAAGGCACAAGAGAGAGAAGAGAGTGAGGGAGAAGAAAAAAGAGAGTTAGGAACACAGGGATAGGAAGGAAGAAGGAGAGAGGGAGTAAGGTTAGGGAGAGAGGAAGGAGAAGAGAGGGAGATGGGAGAGAGAAAGTACATGAACACAACCAGAAACATGTCAGGGGTGATCTGATACAAGAAATAATAGGTTGTGGTATTATGCTCCACCTCTTTGGCTATCCCGACTATAACGTTCACGGTTCTTACTATTTTTTCTATGTATATTAATTTCCTCTTTAAGAATTCAATTATTCTATGTTTGTCTCAGTGTCTGATATCATTTATGTCCAAGACCTTAAGTCCAGCCACTAATACCTTCTATTTTGACATGCAGCGTTTCATCATGATTTATTTATATCGTCTCATTTGACGTTACTGATTTGTCACTATGCAGAAGGCTTTCATCATCTTACATAAGGCATGAAACAAAATGGTACATAAGGAAAATAAAAGAAACCCATGTTCATAAGTGGCACAGGCCTGGAAATGACAGTAGCTAAACAATTACCAGAAGCGGTACTAATGTTGGTACTTCAAGACTATACCAAGAATTGAAGAAAGAAGAGAAGCTAATTAGGAAAAGACACTTACTGTCTTGGATGTAAAACCACAGCCCGGACTGATTTTTTGTGATTTGTTAATGTCACTCTTGTTTTTCCAGCCACCAAATCCCATAATCGTATTGTAGTGTCATGGCTTCCTATAATGAAAATACATACACCCCCCAAAACATGGACCAGGAGAAAGAATGCAAAAGTTAAATATAATAAAATACAAAGTGTTCTTCCATAAACATATATATAATCCAAATGAGTTATACCACTTGGAAATTAGTCTGGGCTAATTTCTTCATGGTTTCAAAATTCTAGGTTGATTTTAAATTTAATTTTTTAAAAAAATGCATGCAATATGACACTTGATTCACTGTCAACTGAACAGCTAGAATACAAATAAAAAATACAATAAATATATAATTTTATCCTCTAGTGGAGAGAAAGGAAAAAACTCTAATGATTTTTTTTTTTTAGTTAATAAAATATATCAGGCAAAGGAATTATTTTCTAGTCTTGAAGTAAAGATCCATTGTTATTAACTTTATTTCGAGCAAAGTAAGATTCAAATCAGTTCTAAAGTTTATTGATCTTAGGGTATTTTGTCTTCTAGCTTCAACTTCCTAGAATAATAATTCAACATGATAAAACAATACTTAACTGTATCTTACAGCACCATTTTCTAGTCAGACAATATAGGATATCATGTATGACATACTCCATATGTAAAAAAGTATGAGATAAAAACAAATGAATGAAATCTTACTATAATAAATTTCAAATGTCCATGATTAAAATATATAATAATGACACAAACACTATAAATACAATATAAAACAAGAGTCATAGTGAATACAAAAATATATGCATAATTAAAATACATTCTGATACAAATATGCTGTAACCTTGAAAAGTATTGATCATACCTGTAATAATCTGTGGTTCTGCAGCTTGACACCTCACTGTAGCAACTGCATTTGTATGTCCAGATAATGTGTGTACACTGGCTTTAGTTCTCACATCCCAAATCTATAAAAACACAATAGACATACTGTCAGAAAGAACAGGTACTCATATCTCAGGCAGACAACTGGATTGATTCAAAGCTGGGAATTTACTAGACAACTGTGCCTGAATATAATGAAGAAAGTGCTTAAGTGAAGGATAATAATCCTAGAAGCTAGGAGAGGAATATATATAGAAGGCAGTTGCCAAGAAAAAAAAAAAGCTGAAAGATGAGGGTACTAGAAGTCTTAAGAATGGGTGTAATGGGAGTACTTTTGGGACTACTGAATGAAAGAGCTAATGGGCAATACTTGTGGTGATAGAATGGAAGGTGAGAGTGTCACATTTCAAGGACAGGACACTAATAACAATAAACATCATGAGGCCATAGAACTGAAGACTAAGGTGGAAAAAAAACCAAAAAACAAACAAACAAACAAAAAAAACCCAAAAAACCTGAGCCTGGGGTATTATTGAGTCAAGACAACTATCTTCAATTCTCTATCAAACAATAGAAGACTTCAAAACCAATATACAAACACACGGCTCTATCCCATTTACCCGAGCAGTTGAATCTCGACTACAAGTTACCAGCACATCGATTGTTGGGTGCAAATCCAAACCATACACTGCACTTAGATGTCCATGATAGTGCCTTATAACCTAAAGATCAAGCAGTAAAGTTAAAACTTCTAGAATTAGAAAGATAAACAGTGGCTCATAATGTTTTAAACCCTTAACTCCAAGCTCACCTTATTATATTCAAGATCCCAGCATTTTACTTGCTTGTCTTCTCCGCAAGAGAACAGGTAGGGGCTCCTTGTGCTCACTATCACGCCCCGCACTGTACTAATATGCCCAGTCAATGACAGTTTCAGTTTGCCACTAGCCAAGTCCCAGATCTGCAATCAAAGAATATTTATTTTTTCTTTTCATTGTTTCCAAAGCAAATTTTCAGAATCCTGATGTTAAAATTAAGACTTCAAAGAGAAAAAGAAAAAGATAGAAATATATACAAATTAAAAACTCTGCAAGATGATTCCCCTCCAAATAAAAGCAAGAAAAACAAAAAGAATAAAATGGCATGCTCAAACTAGGAAAATATTTGCAACAGATGACAAAAGGCTAATATTCTTAATATACGAAGATATCATTGATAATAGAAGTATGAATAGCATGACATTAAACTAGCCAAGGATGGTAACAACTTAAAGAAACCCTAAAAGCAGCAAATAAAGATATGAAAAAGTCTGACTTCACTAGAAATTTTATATTAACAGTTAAAAAAAGATAAGATATTAACAGTTAAAAAAAGATTAGATTTTTGCTTATCATATTAGCAGCTATTTTTAAGGGAATACATAACATGCTGAAAAAGATCCCCTTATATACTGCAAGTATCAATTCACCCATTTTGAAAAGTACTTTATACTTTCAGTACCTGTCTCAAAAATACTTGACTGATTCATTCTGTTTCTGGAACTCTACCATTACAAAATAATTTAAAATACAGAAAAAACTTCATGCATAAAGATTAAGGACGGTATTACTTATAATAGTAAATATCAAGAAGCTAAAAAAGTTAATGTCCAATAATAGGAAAACAGACTAAAGAATAACCAAATGTTTAATATTATGCAACCATTTAAAAAGATGTTGAATTTTTCACAGGAATATGCCTTTGATACAAGATAAGAGAAAAAAGGATACAAATTACATGTCAAGAATGATTTTAGAAACGATACATATTTACACACAGGAAAAAAGCTTAGAAGTAAATGCATTGATACATATACACAGAATAAATACTAAAATGAAATTCATCCAAATAACTAACAGTGGTAAGATTATGTATGGGTCTATGTTCTTTTATAGTTCTCTGTATTTTCCACATTTTCTATTTGAAACTCTTACTGGTATAGATAATAATTTTACTCCATAGTCAGGTCTAAGAAATCAGAGGAACTGCAACAGCAATTTCCATCATAGGAAATAACTTACGACAGATTAAACTTACATGACAGACACAAAGTCATGTTTATTTTATTTTTTCTTCCTTCCTTATTACCTTTATAGTTCTGTCAGCAGATCCAGTCACAAACCACTGATTTCCAGGTTCCACAGCAATACATCGAACCCAGCCAAGATGCCCACTGATCACCTGTATTTAAAAAGTAAAATGGGCAGACACATTAACACAGAAGTTACAATGTATTCGATTTTAACCACAACCCTGGTTTGAACTGCCCCTCCCCCATCTTCAAATCATAAATTTATAAAACTGTTCTGGAAATTTTGAAGCCTGCCTGTTTACTTTCGGTGAGAAAGAAGCAGTTTTGAAAAAATGGAAATATATATATAGTACTTTTTGG